GATCTCTGCTAATCAAGTTAGCCATAAATCCCTCATTTTACCCCAAACTTTTGCAGGTATGAGTAGATGCACCAGGGTTTTTAGACATCTTACTCAGAACCGCAAACAGAATACGAAAGTGCAACCAATCCAAACAGCTGCTTTGGCAGTGTTGCCATACTTTTTTGTAAAAATGATCCAATCAGTTTTTTTTTTTATTTCAAATTTCAAGCTATGCTTTTTCTAATTTCGATTGTTGCGGCCATCCTAAGACAGGCCCTGTTAGTGTCGACAGGAGAGGAACGTTCTTAGCACCCCGACCTTTGGGACTCGGGTAGTAGACTAACAGCGGTAGAGACAACGCACTACTCAATTTCATAATACTTATTTTTCATGTTATAATTTGTGTCTTGAGTTGAATAATAAAGATTTTAAAATTCAGTGTGCTTTGCCATTAAGCACCCATAAAAGAAGACGTAACATCGATAATGATTTCTATTGCTGAATTATTCGATGTGGGTGAAAATATTAGTTTTCCCTATGCTCAACGTTGTTCCAAAACGAACAATTTTCCTAATAACCAGAATTGCTATACTCTTCTCGATGCACGTTTCAACATTCAAGTTGGCGTCTTCAGTTTTCTTCATCTCCTCCAATTTGAATAATTCAATAATAATTCAATTTAATAATAATAATAATAATTTAACGTGCCAATAATATTGGCATAATTTAGTACTCTGATCATAAATAATTTTCCCTTGAATTATATTTATGTAATAGTGCGTTTCTACAATAACAAACATTCTTAAACCCAGTGTTCACTCAGCTAATAATGATGCTTTTTCGAACGGGTCGTACTTGAACAGCGAACCCTCTTCAGAATAGTAATAATTATTATTACATATTTACGCCATGGGTGCAAAGCAATATGAAAATTTATAAAGAAATGCATAAAATCAGATTTTCAGACGAACCCTATTTTATTTTCCATCATCCATGTGTAAGAACATTAGGAATAAAATCATGTATCAACTGTTCTGAAATTTCTATTTAGAAATGTTTTGATTTTTTTTTCATTTCCCAACTATTACAGTGGATTTGAGGAATTTGAC